AGAGAGAGAGAGAGAGAGAGCGCCTACTTCAGTCTGAGATTCACCTGAAGGTACTGGCATCACCAACCCTACCCCAAATGCAACCCCAGTAGTCACCTTTCAACCAGGTCCTGTTCTGAATCAGAATAATGCTACTTTTAGAAGACCCACAATAAAAGAAACAACTAGAGATGTTCCAGGCCTCTGAAGAGCTCATTATTAAGCAGGTGGAAGAAGCTATAAGTAAACACTACAGCACACAGAGAAATGGCCTAAGTGAGGAGCTCTGGGGACCAACAGGCAGAAAAGTACATGTGCAAGCAGGGGTCTGCAGAGGCAGTGACTGCCACTGCCCTTCATGGAAGGTGAATATGGCTAGAGCACTCTGCCAGTGCCTGCAGGGCTGTGATGCGGGCAAACAATCTACGATACGCAGAAACCAGTGGTCCTAGGTGGGCAAAACAAGGGTCAGAGAACACATCAACCTCCCCATGCTCAGCGTATTGAACAGGACGGGGAGAATTGGGGGGCAAATATGACCCAGGATTTCTGCACCTGAACTCGAGGACAGAGTGACTAACCCTGCACCAGAAGGAATAAGTACACAAGGATGCTAAGGTGTAGATCAAGATGTTTTCTGCTATGCTGGGTCCTCTGCTTCTACGCAGAAGTGGAAATGGACTCTAAATCCGCATTATTTACATATATGTATGTGGCTTCAAAGTAAGTAAACACACTGTATTCGTATAGGTGCTTGTGGAGGCCAGGAGAAGGCATTGCATCCCTTGGAACTGGGGCTGCAGGAGATTGTGAGTTGCCCATTGTGAGTGCTGGGACTAAACTCTTATCTTCTGCAGGGGCAGCAAGTGCTCTTAACTGCTCAGTCATTTCTCTGGCCTCACAGTATTATTTAAAAAGAAAAAAAGGAAGACCTGATATAAAAATAAATGAGGCAGAGACAGAGCTCAGTGGTTAAGTGCCCTGGCTACTCTGGAAAAGGACCCTAGTTGAGTTCCCAGCATGCACATGAAGGCTCACAGCCATCTGCAGCTACGGTTTCATATGAAACTTCTTTTGACCTTTGAGGGCACAACACACACGATGTACTTACATACATGCAGGCACATTATGCACATAAAATACGAATAAACTAGAAAAGAGAAAAACAAAATACAACATGCCCTCCAACCTAAAATTGCAAATTGGAAAACCAGACTTCAGAGAATGGCATGGAAGCTAGTGAAATTCCTGCCACCCAAAAGCCAGAGTCTTGGATAAGCCTCTGTCTACACCAACAGGATCATGAAGCAACCAAGGTGTGAGGGCAGATCACTTGACCTGCATAGACAGTCTAAAAATGACAGTTTAAGACAGAAGGCAAAACCCTTATTGGACGTTTTCCTGTATTGTGGGGACAGGCTATCTGGGCCTCTGAAGGGTATTACCTTGTCCCCTGACTTTGCATCATGCCAAATTCCAGAGACCTGAGAAGGCACAGGCTAGCTAGGAGAGCCATAAGACCTATAGGTGTGAAACAATCAAGGCAAAAGGCCAAGACATGTTTTCAGGGCCTACTGCTGCAAATGTTTCCTGCACTCAGCTTTCTGCTGTGAGCTTAACTCCAGAAAACCCATGGCGCAGTCAAGAGCAGCTCTTGCCTCTGCTGTATTCATACCTGTCAGGGGGCTATATTACTCAAACACCCTGGGGTCACAGAGATATGGAAGATGGGCAGAGAGAAGGCTGGGCTCAGCAGAGAGTTAGCTACCTTCTCCCATTGGTGCTTTTCTTCCAGCTGCATGAACATATCCAAAATGTAGGTCATATGTGCAGGGCCACTGAGCTCTAGGATGTCCTCACTCACTGGCACATGCCCTGGCCACTCGGCCAGCAGGGAGGCGAGCACATGGCGAGCATAAAGGACTGCTGTGGCCTCGTTCACACGGAAGAGGTAGTCGCGGACAGCCCTCTTGCTCTTGCAGTTCAGTTCCTTGTGCAGGAGGGCAGCACTCTTGCTCCGGCGCTGCTTGGCGTAGCTCTGCTGCAGCTCACTCTCTGTGCTGGAAATCAGCTTCTGGGTCACAGGGTTCGATTCAGCAGTGGCTTGGTCAGTACGCACAGGCCGGGACTGCAAAGCCAAGACCATCATTACAGAGGCTTGGCCTTCTCACTATAGGGGGCAGAAGTGTAAACACTTTGATCCCAAGGTAGGTGACATACCAAACATGGCAAGATAATCATGTCTGTGTCCACAGCTTTGGCGCTCTGTTCCTCCAGTCTCAGACTCCTACTAGGCTGCCACCTCTGTGCCAGAGAGCGAATTCTCTCATCGGTGGTGAGCTCATCTCCATCAAACCTGAAGGGAGCCCAGGGATGGGCACAGACAGTGGAGGAGACAAGAGCTTAAAATACACCGCAGTTGTCAGAAAGGTGATCAGAACTACACTCTCACTATTACCCACCCAATGATATCATTACTTGCTGACATTTGCAAACTATAGTCACATCATGCATCCACTCATCCATACATGTAGTCTTCCAAGAAGAATATCCTTGTAGCAGCGATACAAACTGTCTCTTAGGAACCACTTTTCTCTTTATCTTCCTTTAAAAAATATTTTTATATTTATATATAAATTATACATACAATAATCTTATATTTTTAATAATAAACTTTTAAAAATCACCTTTTGTAGCCAGGTAGTGGTGCATAACTTTTAAAAAAATATTTATTTATCTATTTATCTATTTATCTATTTATCTATTTATCTATTTATCTATCTATCTATCTATCTATCTATCTATTTATTTATTTATTTATTTATTATGTATACAATATTCTGTCTGTGTGTATGCCCGCAGGCCAGAAGAGGGCACCAGACCCCATTACTGATGGGTGTGAGCCACCATGTGGTTGCTGGGAATTGAACTCAGGACCTTTGAAAGAGCAGGCAATGCTCTTAACCACTGAGCCATCTCTCCAGCCCTGGTGGTGCATAACTTTAATCCCAGCACTCAGGAGACAGAGGCATGTGAATCTTTGTGAATTTGAGGTCAGTCTGATCTACAAAGAAAGTTCCAGGACAGTCAGGTTGTTACATAGAGAAACTCTGTCTCGAAAAGCAAAACAAACAAAATTACTTTTTGTGTACATGTTTTGTCTGCATGTCATGTCTGTGCATCACATGCAGGCCTAGTGCCCTCAGGAGTCACAAGAGGGGGCTAGCTATCAAACCCAGGTACTCTGTGAGAAAAAGTGTTCCTAACCACTGAGACATCTCTCCCTCTCTAGCCTGTTTATATTTCTTTCTTAATTTTGGGATGTGTGTATGGGTGTTGACCTCGCTATCTTTTCAGCTGTTCTCCACCTTATTTTTAGAGATAGGGTCTCTCACTGAATCAAAGCTTACTGGTTTGGCTTAACTGGCTGACTAGCAAGTTCCAGGGATCCATTTGTCTCCATCCCACACCCTAATACTGGAGGTAGAGATGAGCACGGCCATGCCCAGCTTGTATAGGTACTGGGGATCCAAACTCAGGTCTTAATGCTTGCATGGCACACACTTAATCAAGTGTCTTCCAGCTCTTCCTCTCTCTGTCTGCCTCTGGATGCTTATGTGAGAAAACCAAATTCTACCTGCCTCAGTCTGAGGTTCTTCTGCTTTTCTAGCTACAGTAGCTTAGATTGTACCCTGACCATCTTCCTCTCATAGTACCTGCTCCATTTCACACAGGATTTTAGATAATACATAGGATAAAACAGAAACATGAATGAAGTTAATTGAAATCCACTCCACATTAGAATAAGAAGCTAAAGGGCTAGGGAGGTAGCTCAGCATGTACAAGGCTCTGGGTTTGATTTCCTAGCATAGCAAAAAGGGAGGGAGGGGACCGATGGAAGAGAGAGAGAAAGAGGGTGGGAGGGAAAGATGTGCGTTTAGGAAGAGAGAGTGAGCAAAGCCAGGCCATGGGTACAGAAGAGGAGGCTGGGTGGGAGATATGTAAAGTTCCACACAAACTCAGGAGATGGGTTCTGGAGCTACCTCTGAAATTTCTGGCCAAGAGAAGGATATACTGTTGATTATATAATCATCCCTGTGAAAAAGGTCATGAAAATGATTCACACTGATGAAAACATAAGAGCCAAACCCCCTCTTGAACCACAGCACCTGCTCTGCTCTGTGCCATCTGCTCACTGGACGGCATGAGAGGGATCCCACAGCCTGTGCCTTTAAGACTGCACACATGACATTCTCAAAGGAAACTGTCACACTCTTAGGGATGACCCAGCTAAAGTGGCACAACTGCCTTTCCAGGTACATTAGGAAGAACTCCAGGCCTGTCAGGGCCTCTCTCCAGATCCATGGCAGCAGGTGAGGGTCCCACACCCTCACCTGGCACACTCGAGTGCATCTTAATGGTCTTTACCTTTTCTGAACTTCTAGGAAGAAAGAATCGGTCTTTTTCATCTGCAATTCATATATGGCCCGGAGAATGTGCAGAGGAGCATTGAGGGCATCATGAGCCATCTAGAGGCAAGGGAAAAGGTGAGAAATAGACAAGGATATGTGCCTTAAGACATGAACAATATGCGCACTGAAGTGACAAACAGTATTGCAAGTTATCCCAGGTTACAGCTGAAGAACAATATGTAGGTACTTTAAAAAAGCATGGCAAATTTTGAGTACTAAGATATGAACTATAAAAAATGCGCATCATTACTTAAAGCCACTTCAGGAGCTAAGGAATGGCTCAGTGGTTAAAAAACTTATTGCTCTTGCAGAAGACCTAGGTTTAGTTCCCAGCATCCACATGGTGTCTCAGAACTACCTGTAACTCTAGTTTAAGGGGATTCACTACTCTTTTCTGGGCCTTTGCAGGCTCCTGCATGCATGTGGTGTATACAAAAATCACACAGGCACACAACATGCACATAAAATAAATAAATAAATAAATAAATAAATAAATAAATAAATAAATCTTAAAATCACTACAATGATAGGGTTCTACTATCCTTTTGGATCTTTTCTGTATGCAACAGACTGTTTCGGAAATGAAGTCTCAGGACATCAAACTGAGCAGCTAAAAGGTTTTTAAATTTATTTATGTGAATGGATGTTTTGCCTGAATGTTTATGCCTCATGTGTGTGCCTAGTACATGTGAAGGCCAGAAGAGGGTGTCAGATCCCCTGGAACTGAAGTTAACAGACAGTTGTGAGCTCCCATTTGGGTGCTGGGAATCCAACCTGGGTCTTTAGCCACTGAGCTCTCTCTCCAGTTCTTAGACTTGTTTAGGTTGAAGCACAGCCTGAGCCAAAGAGAATCCATTCCTTTGATGCCTGTGCTCCATAAGATGACCAGTGAACATACCAAGAAGCAAATTCTGGTGGGTTCATCCAAGCTTTCAAGAGGGTCTAGCTTTTTCTGTTCTGGTTCTCCAGGGCTACTAACTGGCCGGTCCATTTCTTCCTCCTGGTCCCCTCGCTCATCCAGCTCCAAGTCTCCATGTTCAGTCAAAGAGTTGATCTCCTTTTTTGAGGAGTACAGCATGATCGACAGAATCTACACAAAGTCAGTCAAGCAGAGCAAGAAGATGAGTGAGTGTTCATCAGTGAGGAAGATGACACAGTCTTTAATCATGTAAGGGTCTTTGAGATTTACCGGAACTTTAAGATACCAGAGTTCACATAGAGAGTATGTGATTAGTAAAGGAATATGAAAGCATGTTCAACTATACTTATAATAGAAGAAATGTTAATTAAAACTATGGTGGCCCTTGTGTTTATTAACTTTCTTGACAGCAAAAATGGATATTATCCTATTTTTTACTTGTTTTGGAGAAATATAACTACTAAACTTTAAAATATATCCTTTTGACTTACAACTTATCTTTTAGAAATGACAAGATAGATTAAAAATGCTGTTCAAAATATGGCCAATGAAGCACTAATAATGGTAAAAACTGCAAAGTACTTTCCAGTCTTATACACAGCCATTAAGAAGGATGGTTATGGAAGCTGGAGAGATGGCTCAGCAGTTAAGAGAACTGGCTAAGCTTCCGGAGGACTTGAGTTCAATTCCTAGAATTCACATGGCAGCTCACAACCATCTGCAACTGAAGTCCAGGAGAGCTGATGCCCTCTTCTGGCCTCTATGGGCACAAGGCATTCAAGTAGTACAGACATAGTTACAGGCAAAACACCCGTACATATAATTTCCCTTAGATCTTAGCAAACCCTGTAGTATTCAGAGCTGATTCTTCATATGTGGGCATCTGTGAAGTGAGGGTAAGGGCACAGCACATCTCTGTCGCACTGCCCCTTATACTAGGAGCTAGCACTTGACCTTGAAAGACTCTGGGAACCAGAAGAACTTCACTAAGAAACATCTATGGCCTCAGAGGAATAACAATAAAATGGAATTATCGACTGAAATCTTACATAAGATAAACATGTGTGCTCATATTTAGAAACTGATTTTAGCTCAACTTTAGAGGGAAATAATAATTCAAAACCACATTTTATTACCATGATTTAACGGTCAATTATGTGTTTCCACAAAGTACTTCTCCAAGGTTCCTTAAACAAACACCCAATTCATTTTCCTGACAGGGAGGACAGGTGTCAGGATCCCTAATTCAGGAAGAGGGGGATCAAGGCTGGGTTTAAAAGCTGCACAGAATGAGAGAGCAGAAGGAGGAACTGGCTGGAACAAGCTAGCTCTGCACGAGGGTATAGATCTTCAGGGCAGCCCTCCTCTTTACCTCCAGGTCGCGGAGGAGCCAGGTCTTACTGAAGCCGGTTCCTTTGCTGCATTTCTTCACCAGCAGCTTCAGCAGGTCAGTCTGGAGGAAGGTGGCATGGGTCTCCTCAAAACCGTGAGCCTGCCAAGGCAAGAGCGTGAAGGTCAAGGTCAGCAGAGCGCCAGTCTCTTCCCAGAGCTAAAGGCTCAACTGACCTTCAGGGGAAATTTCCAGTCAGTAAAAAAAGCACTCTGAAGCCGCCAGTGGAGGCACCTGCCTTTAATCCCAGCACTTGGGAGGCGTAGGCAGGTGATCTCTGTGAGTTCGAGGATAGCCTGGTCTACAGAACGAGTTCCAGGACCAAAGCTACACAGAGAAACCCTGTCTCGAAAAACAAAAAAAAAAAAAAAAAAAAAAAAAAGCAGCAAGCAAGCAAGCAAGCACCCTGAATCTTAACCAAAAATGCTCGACAGTGGGAGGGCTTGGATTTTAGCCTCAAGCATTTTTGGAAAGTAAAGAGGGGAAGTGACATAAAATAGGCTTCAGAAGTGCTTGTTCGGTGAAAGATCACAGAGCAAATGATGCAGTGGCTCATGGCTAAGATTCTCAGGAATCCCACAAGGATGACCCCAGCTAAAACTCTTAGCAATAGTGGAGATAGTGCCTGAACTGTAACCAGACTGGTGAATACATCAACTGTCATCATAGAGTCTTCATCCAGGAACTGATGGAACCAGATACAGAGATCCATAACCAAGCACCTGGATGAGCTCCAGGAATCTAGTCGAAGAGAGGGAGGAGGGAATAGATGAGCAAGGAAGGTCAAGATCATGAACGGGAAATCTACAGAGACAGCTGAGCTAAGCTTGTGGGAACTCATGAACTCTAAACCAACAGCTGTAGTGCCTCCAAGGGAACAAAGTAGGCCCGCTGCATGTGGGAAACAGTTGTGTAGCTTGGCCTATCTGACAGGCCCCTGGAAGTAGGACCAGGATCTATCCCTGATGCATGAGCTACTTTTCTGAGCTCATTCCCTATGGTGGAATGCCATGCTCAGGCTTAATGCAGGGAAGAGGGGCTTGGTCTCCCTCAACTGGGCCAGGCTTTGTTGACTCCCCATGGGAGCCCTTAACCTTTGGGACAAATGGATGAAGGGGTGGGTTGGGTGGTGGTCAGGAGAACTGTGATTGGAATGTAAAATAAAATTAAAAAAAATCATTAATAAGATAAAATCCAAACCCTAGCCATGGCTGACCAGGTCCTACAAGGCTCCCTGCCTGCTTCTTTGGCCTCAACCCCTCAGCTGCACTATCTTAAAGACCTGGAGGTCCTTCTGCTCCCGTGACGGCCATGCCTGGTCCACTATAAGATCTGAAACTTACTTTTTTTGTCCATGTTACCCAAGGCTAGCGCCATATTTGCTGCCTCAAATTTCCCTTTTTCAAAAGGCTTTCCAATGCAGAGCTGTCTTCCTTGTAGGCAGGTGCTTCCTCTGGCATGAGAGACTATAAGCCTCATGAGAGCATGGCCCTTCTTTCTAGCTCACACTGCACACACAGTTCCATTTGGCTCTTGATAGTCAACAAATATCAACAGACTGAGGACTCATGGTGGTGCACACCTTAATCCTAGCATTCGGGAAGTAGAGGCAGGCAGATCTCTGAGTCTGAGGCCAGCCTAGTCCATATAGTAAGTTCCATTCTAGACAGAGCTACATAAAGAATACCTGTCTCAAAAAACAAATAAAACTGAATGAGAATTTAAGAGCTCTGCCATCAGGGAGTTAATTTCCCTTTCTATTATAGTGGAAACAGTGAAACACACCATGTCTTGAAACACATCAGATACTGAACAACTAGAAGATGAATGGTCTCAGCTGCCCAGAGCTGGAGAGCCCAGCAGGCAAGTCTCTGGTGGTGCTTGAGACTGCGCCATCCCCCGCGACTACCACTCAGTGACCTCCCTACCAGAGTTACCACTGAACACTTCAATGTCAAGGGGCAACAAACTCCAGCAAAAATCCTTTCCGGGACAGCTCTGTAAGCAAGATCACCCTGCAGATAACCTCAAATCTATTTCCTTGAAAGGTCCTCCCCAGCCCTCCAGCCCACTAAGGCCCACAAAGTCACCATGGGTCAGGGCTTCTCTCCACCCCAAATACTGCCCACCACTCACCTAGCTGCTTCCTTCCAGTCTAATGGTCACACTGATCCCTTGAGGCTCCATGGAGCCAGCTCCCTTTATTCCTCCCTTAATTCCTGTGAGAACCTAGAGGAGCTCCTGTCGGGAATGAACTGAAAAACCTTTCAGCTCAGTTTTCTTCCCCCAAGACAGGATTATGTTTCCATGAAGCCACAGTCCATGAACAGTATTAAAAAAAACTGAAACTTTCCAGGTGGTACTGGCGCATGACTTTAATCCTAGCACTCAAGAGGCAGAAGCAGGCGGATCTCTGTGAGTTCGAGGCCAGCCTAATCTATAAGAGCTAATTCCAGGATAGGCTCCAAAGCTACAGAGAAACCCTGTCTTGAAAAACCAAAAACCAAACGAACAAAAAAACCAAAACCAAAACCTGAGACTTGCCAGGTGGTAGTGGCATAAGCCTTTAATTCCAGCACTCTGGGAGCAGAGGCAGGTGGATGTCTGTGAGTTTGAGGCCAGTCTGGTTTACAAAGTGAGTTCAGGAAAGCCAATGATACACAGGAGAAACCCTGTCCCAAAAAATAAAACAAAACAACAAAAAACCCAAAAACTTGTCTCAAAAAACACCTCAAAAAATAAAAACAAACAAGCAAAAACAAAACAAAAACTGAGATTTAAAACACTTGGAAAATTCTTTCTTCCTTAAGTTATCCTTGTATAAGATCTCAAGCATTTTTAAAAACAACCCATTGTTAAGCATTCATTCAAATCAGATGGCATTTCCTCCTTGTTAATCCTCTGCAGATGTGCACAAACCTATGGAAGAGGCTCACCATTACCTTTAGTGTTTTATATAAACCTTTGAGGGCCAAGGATAGGACCCAAGTTGCTTCCACTGCCTCGGGACAATGGCTGTCCATGCTGGTTTGCAGAAGGTGACTGGCAATAAAGGCAAAGTGTTGGGAGTACTGGCTCAGCTGGGCCTGAGAGGTGCCACACTCTTGTCCTCCTCCCTTCTGGACCAGTTGGTAGTCCTTCACTGAAGCATCATGCCAAAAAGGAAAAGAAAAGTACAAAGAGTACAGTTAGTGTCGTCTACAGCCAGGTTTCTCCACAGGCCTCACTAAAGTAAGGACTGAAGAAACAAGCCTCCCAGGCTCAGGTGTGGTTGCTATTGGGCTTAAATAAGCCCAATTTGCAGGTGAGCACAAAAGTAGTACAGGGCCACTTATTCATGGGGAAACTAAGAGTCACAATGCAAAATTCTTATTACTATGCACAAGCAGATCATCGCCAAAGTTGTGATGATTGTTCTTGGTTGTCAATTTGATTACATGTGAGATTAACTAAAACCCAAGTGGCTGGGGACACCTGTGAGGGACTTTTTTTCTTAATTAAATCATTTCAAGTGGGAAGAACCACTTCTAATTAAGATCTTTTGGGGTAGGAAGATACACCTTTAGTCTGGGCCACACCTTCTGCTGGCAGCATATATCAAGGACATGGAAGAAGGATGCTTGCTATCTGTCTGCTTGCCCTCAGTCTCCCTGGGAGGTCTGATGTGGGATGTCCTTCTCTATATGTGTTGCTTTTATTGGTTGATGAGTAAAGCTGTTTTGGCTAATGGCTCAGCAGAGTAAAGCCAGGTGGGAAATCTGAACAAAGATATATAAAGAGAGAGTAGGCAGAGTCAAGGAGATGCCATGTAGCCACAGAAGGAGATGTCAGAACATTACCGGTAAGCCGCAGCCTCATGACAATACATAGACTAATAGAGATGGGTTAATTTAGGATGTAAGAGCTAGCTAGAAATATATCTGAGCCATTGTCCAAACAGTATTGTAATTAATAAAGTTTCTGTGTGATTATTTGGATCTGGGCAGGCAGGAAATGAAAGCACAGTCTCCATTTACATAATGGTACACAATGTGGGGCACGAATTCATGACCTTGAGATTGAGAGTCTCACAGCAAAACATTGGCCAAAACATTGGCAAAAACAGCTTTATTCATCAACCAATAAAAGCAACGCATATATAGAAGGACATCCCACAAAACTGGTCTATCATCCCTTTACTGGCATTAAAGCCTGCTTCTTTGGGATTCTGGTATATACTGAAGATCAGCTGAGACACCCAGAGTCATGGACTGAACAACTACTAAATTCTTGGACCTTCTATTGATAGACAGCCATTGTTGAACTAGCTGGATCACAACCTGTAAGTCATTCTCATAAATCCCTTTTCTCTCTCCTCCCTCTCAATTCATCCTATCATTTCCATTTCTCTGGAGAACCCTGATCAATGCAGATTTTGGTACCAGAAGTGGTTCTAGAGCAACAGAAGTATAGGGATGAATTTTTAAAGTATCTGGAACAGGCTTTTCAGTTTGCCAGCGCCTACAGTTACTGAAGCCTCTCCTAGAAGCTCAGAGTACTGAAAGCCTATGGTGTAAACTATTTTACAAACTTAAGGAGACAAATGCATTTGATTATACAATTGTGAGAGGCAACAGATTTGGTGACTCTGTATATAAAACTTTTGACAATTTGCAGAAAAATAAGGAAAATGATGCTCCTGTGTCTTTGGGTAAACTGACAAATGAAAAGGATGGGTTCTGTGATAAAATTAATCAACTCCTAGATCTCAAAATATGGCGAAGGACAACAATGAACTTAGTGATAAAATGGACCATTTCCAGAGGTGCATAAATGGTCTAAAGGTTTTTTAAGTGTGCCCTGGAAGAGAATCTTCTTTCCAGCAGCCACAGATTTTGTTGTGGAAAATCAAAACAAAGCCTTCATTATAAGATTGGCTGAATTACAGCAAAAATTCAAGTAGCAGACTCAAACGTGTTTGGTGGTTAAGAGTTAAGGGGTTAGTTGATAAAAATGGAACACTGTAACTTGGGATGGAGATGTGTGGGAGGACCCTATTGAAACTAAGTACCCTGAATCCCAGGAAGGGTTTATCTCACCAGAGTAGTCTCCACCCTCAGCAGAAGATTTCACCCCACTTCCTGAAGTACTACTTTTCACCTTTGACTGAGGAAATTAACCCTTCATTGTAAGTTAAAGCAGCAGTGGCTTTCTCTGAAGATGCCAAAAAAGGCAACACTGATGTCCCTCAGGGCCCAACAAAAGTTGCCTCTAGACTATAACCAGATTTAAAGCTAAGCAGGCTCCTAGAGGGGAGTCCAAGAGTAGATGTATTATATTACTAAAGAACTCAAGCAGTTTGCTAATTCATTCAAGCAGTATGTGTGGGAATGGATTTTAAGGGTATGGGATAATGGTGGAAGGAACAAAACAGGATTGGGCTGAGTTGATAATGGCCACTGAGTGGAGAATCTAGGTTTAAAATGGATGCTCAGACAGTTAAAGAAGGTGTCTAAAGTTTGGTTATTTCCCCAGTTCCAGAATGTATAATTAGAATAGATAAACTCAGAAGTTGACAGAATTCTTATATTGGTTCCCTGGCCTGTGGAGTAGGGACTATTATCATTGAAAAGGCTAAATAGAAACCTCTAGGAGTGCCTGTGCCAGAGAAAATAGTGAATCAAAAACAGTATTGTATCCATGGAGGAACCGCAGAAGTCAGTGCCATCATCAAGAACTTGAAAGATGTGGGGGTCATGGTTCCTATCACATCTCCCTTTAACTCTCCTATCAGTTGACTACTGAAAACTCAGTAAGTTCCAATTGCAGCTGCTGTACCAGATGTGGTGTCCTTACTTGAGCAAATTAACACATCTCCTGGTACATGGTATGCAGCTATGGATTTAGCAAATGCCCTTTTCTTGGTACCTGCCCATAAAAACCACCTGAGACAATTTTATTTCAGTTGGCAAGGCCAGCAGTATACCTTTACAGTTTTACCTCAACATATATTAACTCTCCAGCCCTGTATCATAACTTAAAAGGGATATTGATCATCTTTCTCTTCCACAAAATATCACATGGGTACACTATACTGACATTATGTTATTGCTAATAACATATTTGTATATCAGAGGATGGCAAAAAAATCCAACCAAAATTCAAGAGCTTTCTACTTCAGTGAAATTGTTAGGAGTTCAGAGGTGTGGAACATGCAAGAGAGGAGAAGGATAACTGATTGCTCCTCCCACCATCAAAAATGAAGCACAATGTTTAGTGGGCCCATTTGGATTTTGGAGAGAGCACATTCATTCCTCATTTGGGTGTGTTACTCCAGCCATGGACCAAGTGACTCTGAAAGCTGATAGCTTTGTGTGGAGCCTGGAACAGGTCCAGGCTGTTTCTCTACCACTTGGACCATATGATCCAGCAAACCTGATGGTATTTGAAGTGTCAGTGGGAGATAGGGATGCTGGTTGGAGCCTTTGGGAGGCCCTTTAGGTGAATCACAGAGGAGGCCTTTGGGATTTTGGAACAAGGTTCTACCATCATCTGCAGACAACTGTTCTCCCTTTGAGAGACAGCTCGTGGGCTGTTTTTGGGACCTAGTGGAAACTGAATGTTTGACAATGGGACACTAAGTTTCTCTCTCTCTCTCTCTCTCTCTCTCTCTCTCTCTCTCTCTCTCTCTCTCTCTCTCTCTCTTTTTTTTTTTT